AACGCAGCTGGAAGCCAACTTGAGTACAGGCCATTGGCAATGGGAATAGTTGCAATCTTTGCGTAAGCCAGAGACTGCGGGATGAGCATGACGCCCACGGTCAGACCGGCAATGAAGTCGGTGATGAGCCATTTCGGGTTGTATCGAGGAAGCCACTGGACGATGGGGACCTTGTCGAGAAGGTAAACTCCCGCGGCCGATGGAAGCTTTGGGGCCCCCTGAACGACAAAGTCGCGAGCTCGTGCGATGCTGGCATCTGTGGCGAACTCGTCCTTCACCTTTTCGACCTTTCGGGTGATCTTCTCCATCTTGACAGCAGGAAAGGACCCAAAGTGCCGTTGTTTGAGAAAAGATGAGAAAGGGAAAGTGAGGAAAGAGAAGTGTCCGGGGCCGTCGGTGGCTGATGTGATGGGAACAGACAAAATGGTTTCAGAGCAGTTGGGATGATTATATCTGTTCAAGAAAGAGTCAAGTCATCACCTTCATCCGGTCTCAACTATTCGATATTTGACTTGATCCTAGAGATAACAATGTAGTTCAGCCAGACCCCTCCCCCTCCCGCCACGCTGATGGAGGTGTTCTATATGCTTGCTGCATCGCATCTGATCCGCGCATTGCAGCTTGCCCGCTTGCGCAAGTTGCCCGTCCCCCAGTACAACACAGCAACCACATGGGATAGCGACCTGAACCTTGTAGGCGGATAACTGTACCATCCAATACGTGTAGAGAGAAGGCAAAAAAGGCAAGAGGAGAAAGAGGGGGAGGCGTGGGCCAAGAAAACACCACCGCAGCAGCATCATGGGCTCCTGCGTGTGTACACAACTTGGCCCAATCTAGGCAAGGAACTGCCGTACCCTCCTTCGGACGACACTCGGTATCCCCTCACATGCCGATGACACCGGATCTAATGCAGTTTGATCACTGTTCAGCCCATGGAAGGTGTCGAGAGCCTCAGATTGGTGGGAGTTTGGGTAGGTTTGCGTTACGTCGAGCAAGGCCAACCAGCCAGCCAGCCCCCTCGCGCGGAGTCGCGCCGCGATGAACGCCAAATAGCTTGGGGACAAGGAAGACATTAGACCAAAACTCCAACTTTTCTCCAATAAAGGGACATGATAAGCTACATGTACAAGCAAAACTTCAGGTCTGGTCCCTGGATACTAGTCGGGTGCAGACGTCCATCCAACTCAAAGTGAAACTGACTGGTACCCATCCCGCGTGGGATAGCAGGAAAAGGACTTGTGAATAGTATAGCGTGGCGTGGCAAAGAAACGGTACGTTGATCACATGTGCACCAGGGTTGGGGGATCAAAGTCAATGGCTACTGGACGGGACGAGAATAGGATCAGTTGAAATATTTGGAGTAAGAGAGAACACCACATAATTAGCACACTCTACCTTATGTGTGAAGTTACTAAGTAAAGCACGAACGCAGCTGGGCACGGAGGCTAGAGTTGGAGTCGTGTCAGCTGAGATGAAAGGACCGCGCCCTCTCATTCGTCATCTCACAAGAAGGGGAAACCATGAGCATCGCATCTTTGTTTGAACGCTTTATTCACTTGATTTTGTTTGATTTTGAGTTTGCACTCATTAGACTTTGTATTAGACTCGATATCTCGTCACTTGGCATCTGAGAGCCGCAATGCTAAGTCGACTGCCAAGTGCCGGTGTCTCTTGGCCTCCTCGTGGCTATTGACTACTTACCAAAGCACGATCCAGTCTTGGCAGGTTGCACATCGAATCTTGTGAGACAGCGAGGGCGTTGAAAAGGACGGACGATCGCCACCGGCAGACAAAACGGGCCGACCTCATGGGCAGTCAAGGCAGAATTTTTGGGTGTGTACGTGCGTATTGTACGTATATGAGTGATGAGTGAGCGGGTAAGTGAGTGAGTGAGAGAGTGTGTGAGTGAGAGGTGTGCGTATGATGACTGTGTGATGCCACGGCTAGTACCACGGTAATCGAAAAATCGTCGAGCCAAGAAAATAGGCAAGTCCCAAAGCCTTTTAGCGAACACCGACACTTGGTACCTAAAGCACGTCCTTGGGGGTTGCATGCATTGGCAGTCTATGTACACGGGAAGCTTGGCGGCAAAACACATATCGAATTTCCTCATCCGGATTGGTGACTTGAGATAACAGGCTCTCCCATCCAAGACATAGAACACTTGGCTTTCTCTGATCCTCTCTCTGGCGCACGCAGCGCATGCGTGGGACCTTTTCGGTCTCAGCTTCTTGTGCAGGATAGGAGTTGACCGAACGTGAAGGGTCGCAATGGAATGTATGTGGTATCCATATTGCCATATCAAGGTGACGACGACGACGCAATACAGAGCCCCATTTCTTTGGTATGCGAGATACCGCGGGCTTAGTCGTGCAACCCGAAAGAGGGAAGTGTGTTCGATTCTCTCTCCCTCGCGGCCCTATCGTTCCGTCAGGTCTCTACTGTGTATCTATCTTTGCCTCTCTCTCACACACTTCTCTCCTTCGACCTGCCTGTAAGTATCAGAGGTACGTTAGTTTTGACGCAAGACCGGAATTCCCGCGCGAGATCCCCCCTACCCAGTTGGCCCCCTCCCCCCTCCCGTTGTCCACTTCCCTTCCCGTTCAACTAAAGTCCAAGACGCGGGGTACATACCCGTCCAATAGCGCTCCCGTGGCGGCCATCGGCTCTAGCAAGGCCATCTTGGATAGACGAACGCAATGACGAGGCGAGATGTCGTGTGCCGGGTGGTGGGCGCGGGCTTCCAGGACAGGACTCCACCGAATTGTTCCCACACGGCCACACACCCCTTCTTCCAGTCTCCGCTCTCTGTACTCCCCCAAGTCTACCCCCTGCAAGTAGCCTTCGATACGACGGGACAAGCTTTTGATTTCCCCGGTTGAGGTGGTATGCCAAGCCCGCGAATCAGGTGCCGTATTCCGGCCATGCAGACCGGGGTGAAGTCCGGGTTTGACCGGGGTTTAGGCCTCTGCCACTCGGTGCTAGCCTAACGGGAGTGACTCGCAAGGAAAGCGAAGAGCGAGGAGGAGGAGCCAGGGAGCCTAGGAAGAGGAGACAATCGAGCAACACCCGCTGCGAGAACCCATGGAGATGTGAATGCAGTTCGGCGGGCGGCGAGCGGCAAGTGGATTGTGGGCCACAGATATAACTTGACAAGCGCAACAAGAGCCGACGGTGAACGGGGTAGAGAGAGTGTGAGAGACTATGCTATATGTAGCATCCCTAACTGAACATACATGTTTCTTCGATTAAGATGCTGCAGTCACACCGACGAGGGTCGTATTAGATCCATGCTCACTGGTCGAATCCCAGGTCATGTCTACCACGGCATGTTTGCGTAGGTGCCAGTGCCGCCTTTCTTGCTGCAATTCCGACGAATCAGCTCACGTTGCCGTTGGGATGGGAATAGCTTTCCATCGACAACACCAGGGGGATTGTCGCTTTCGCGCCCTGCCTCCAACTCTAGTTACCTAGTCAGTCAAGTCAGTCAGTCAGTCGGTGATGTGCCCAGTCCCAATGCCCCCTCATCTCTCATTGCCCCTTGGTGCTCGCATTTACCCCTCTTTGGCATCTTCTTTTCTTGCTCTCCAGTCTCCTCTCTCTGTCCGTCTCCAACTTTTCCAAGAATAGGAATGGGTGTCGTCAACCGCAACGTTCACACCCATACAGAAGTTCCTAACCCTACAGGCCTGCTGCCCGCACCGGGAAATGGACCGAAAAGAGTGAAGGCTCAAAACATTGGACGATGCAGGTAGCGGAAACGGCCTTGTCAGCTTTCTCCTCCTGCACCGCAACCACCACTACCGCCTCAGCACCTGGGAATGCCTGCCTTCGACTCGTTGCTGAAACGGAACTATTGGCCCGGATCGATGGTGTTGTCGCCGTGCGGGGTTCATTCCATGAGGATTGCGATTCTTTTCTGCTCGTCGCTCTCGACGCTTCGGTCACCGGTCACCACCTTCTTGATCCATCTTACGGCTCTACGCACCCCTAGCCTCAAGGCCCCCGGCCTGGATCCTCCCTTGGGCCCTAGGATCTCCTTTCCCGTCATTCTCTTTTTATTTTCTGCGTTTCTTACCGCCGGCTCCCACCCTGCGATAAGCCTAAATCGGGCACGAGGGCCCAAGAGGGCGTGTCCAGAGGGGTTCTCTCTCCTCGCATGCAACGAGAGCCTGGCCGCGGGTCACGGATGGGCGTCGCTAACCTGGCTGCTACAACCTATTGCAGTCATATTCCTTCCACACCGAGGGATGAAAGCTGCAATCAACTAACATGGCACCCACCCCTCTTTCCATTAGATCTATTTGAGGCAACGATATCTGGTTAGACTGGGTCCGTAGCTACGGACGTCTTTCGGAGACCTGTCGGTAAGAGAAAGAGGTAGTTATGTAAATGATGTGTCGGTGATGGAAGAGGATGGTGAAAGAGAGCAATAGTCGTGGCATACGGGGGCTCTATTTCTAGTTTGAGAAGCAACGGAGGCGATCAATGCGCGGCTGACTTGATGGTGATACAAGGGCCTGGACTTGGCAGCGGGAACTGAGTAATCCGATTATGTTTGGACGAGAGCTTTCTGGAGTAGCTGGCATGGATACCCTTTCCAAGCCCAGTTCTGTCTGTAAACTTTGAGTAGGTTACCTTGACTTCATAGACTCTGAGCAAAAAAAAAAGGCTTTTGTCTGATGGCAGTGGGAGACATAGTATCAAAGGTGGGAACAGCGTCCCAAAAGCCAAAGAGCGAAGGGGCGAGATTGGTTTTGTTTCTAGACATCATAGACTTTGCTGCCAAGAATAATGAAATGGTATTATTGACTGATCAACAATTTCTGTCGACAAATGAGATGATGTTTTTGTCCCCTGGCTGTAGATGTTTCATCGCCCAACGAAACAAAATACCGCCAGAGCACAGACGATGACCGAGGGCAAAGGACTCAGCCACCTCGTTCCCGTTTCCAATGTTTCCATGCATGATGTTTCCGTTGCGTGTTGTTGTATGACCATCAGAGTTCCTCCGTCTCGGTCTGAACATCCTCGGCATCGACGCTAGTGTCCTTGGTGATCTCATCCTTCTCGGCGCTCTTGACCTTGTCCCAGAATTTCTCTCCAGCATCGGGATCGTTGGCGAAGAGGTGGTCGACGACCAGCTTCTTGGGCGTCTCGCCCATCCACTGGAACAGGGAGAAGTCTCTGAATTCGTCGGCGCGGAAGATTTCGAGCATCTCGAGGGGTTCGTCGCCAATGTTCTCCACAAAATGACCCATGTTCTTCGGGACGATGCCAACGTCGCCTGGCACGTAGTCGAATGTCCTGGCGTTCCCTTCTGAGGCGAAAATCGTGACTCTGGCGCGACCCTTGATGAAGAAGGACCACTCGTCGGCGTTGGGGTGCCAGTGCATCTCACGAAGGGCGCCGGGCTCGATGATGGCGTGGGCAGCAGCAATGGTCTTTGAGATGGGGAAGTTCTTGGAGTCGGTTACTCTGACTTCGCCGCCAGAGGTCTTCTTGGGTTCCTGTGCGAGCATCTTGTGCGTGAACTGGTGCTTTGATTTCTTGACGCCTTTTCCGTCAGGGGCCTCGTGGCTGATGGAGCCGGGTGTCGTTCCTTGGAAGATGTACTTCTCTCCCTCGGGGATGTTTGCAAAGACCTCGGGAGCCAGCTTGAAGTTCTTTGAGATGACAGACTTGGGTGTGTGTGCTGTTGTATTGTCAGTCAATCTGAAGTCTTCTTGTCTCTCGGTGGCACCATACCAAGCCAGTCCGTAAGGATGAAAGTAGACTCCTCAGAAAAGTGTCCGTCGTCGAAGATTAAGAGAAACTCGGTTCCGTTCTCGCCGAGACCTTGAAGGGAGTGAGGAACACCGGAGGGGAAGTACCTGGCCACAACTATTTAGCATGAGGAAAAGAAGCAGAAAATAATTTCAAACAAACCAGAGATCGCCTTTTTGGACGTCATCGATAAAGTTGCCTCCCTCGTAGTCAATGGCGGTGATACGGCAGCTGCCATCAAGGACATATGCCCATTCAGCTTCCTTGTGCCAGTGGAGTTCGCGAACGACCCCCTCGTCTAGGCGCATGTTAACACCGGCCAGCTCGATACTAGTAGGAAGCTCGCGAATCGTGGTTTGTCTAGTCCAACCACCCTCCTACAAATAGAACTAATTAGTACCATTAAGCTACAGCGGAACCTATGCGGACAAACGGACCTCGATGCGAATGTGAGAATCAGCAAAACTCCAACGCATGTTGGCAAGATTGCCGTGATCAGTGCCTGGAGGTCGAACGAGATCCGGGTTCTGTCTGGATCGAGCCTCGTTCCAAGGACCGAGAACAGAGGCTCCTAGGCCATTGCGATATGGCAAGGGATCGAGCTCGTCGCCAATGGAGTCGATGGGACTATCGTACTTGTCCTTGTAGCCAGGAGTGTAGGGAGGCGAACCACTGCGGTACTTTGTAGGAAGACCCTTGCCGTCGAGGAGGCGCTGGCGAGGACTGTCCTGGACAGGCACGGCGAGGGTCGGAGCGATGAAGCTCAAGACAGCTCCTGACAGGAGCAGCGGGAGATGCATGATGGTGGTGGGAAGCGTGTAAGAAGAGGATGTCAGGAAGAAGGAGCTGCAGGTGATCTGTCTTTCATAATGAGAAAGGTAAATTGGCCGCGGTGGCTTTTATATTCCACACTTTGTAGCCAAGACGCGAAGATCCTCGGTCCTGAGCTGGGAAGATTTCGGAGCTCGAAGCTCGGAGGAGTTCCTGATTGACCAATGACCATACGGTTTCGAACCCCTGGCAAGCTGTCTCGACGAGTTACACTGCTATCGGAGGCCATACTGAGGTTCGGTAGTGTAGTCGACCATAGAAAGCCTGCCTCCGAGTGAATGCCGACGCATCTCCGCATACCATGGGTCGAGGACCTCAGGACATGGAGCTATCAATGATGTGAGGTGAGGAGGAGCAGGAGCTCAACCGAGCGCGGCCAGGTGTCGATGCTGCGGGGTACCGCTGTAATCGGCGCTGCCCAGGCCCCCTTTACCCCAAGCTCCGACCCCTGTAAGCGGTAAATGATTGGAGGCCACTGCGTGTCATTGGCGACCTGGGCTGGTCTTTTGGCATGTTGGACGGCACCCGAGCAAGAGTGGTAAAGCTTGGCTGATTCTGCAACGATTGTGAAGGGGGTGGAATGTGAAGAGCAAGTGGAAGATGCAGAAGACGAGTAAAACAGTACTGTGTAATTGATTATTGCATCAAAACGATGACGCGTCGTACAAATGATGTTTCGCTTTGTTCACACTGCTGGATTTGTGCATAACTACACACGAAAAGAATTTCTTAAAGGGCAAGACCACCTCACTTAAGGTGAGGTGCCTGCCGTGCCTGCCTACTTACGTACCTGCCTTCCTTCCCTTCCTTGGCTTCGGTCACGTTACCTCGCTTACCTGTGACTTCACTTTGGAAAATGTCACCCGCCTCTTTCTCTTGGCCTGGATGTACATACCCTGAAGTCTTCCAATGTGCATTGAGAATAGAGCAAGGAGTCCGAGTCTTGGCATTCATGAATATGATCATCCATTGTATCATTCTCTTGGTAAATGATGATAGGGTTCATATGGCACATGGGAAGGATGTTTGCCCACTGCACTAAAAGTACCGAGGCCTCGATGCAAACTAGCTATGATAAGCCTCCTTGATGAAGTTTCAGTCGGGTCCAATTTTCCAGTCTTGAATGATGTACGTGATTGAATATACAACAGTAAGGAAATACTTTCCTTATGAGAAGATCTGATAACCGATGAGGAAATATCAATGTATTCTCTCATCGGTTTAGGATCGAGGAGATTGGTTAAGGGAGCAATACATCAAGGATTCAAGCACTGTGAGAACTGAAAATGATAGTATGTGACAAAAACTGTTCGTCAAACTCTCCAACATGAAGTAGGCTCGTGGGAGTCAGATGTGACAACTTGCTGACACACTTTCAGCTCCTGATCCAGGGAAATTGGACAGGCTTGCTAGATGCTGTGTATTGTACATGATGAACTCGTACATTTACCTTAGAATGACGAAAAGCTTGCTCTTATTGCTTAAGGCTCTCACTAAACTAAAACATGACAATACGTATCAAGTGCTCTATTTGCCAACACCGGGTAAATGTGTAAGTGTTTTGCATGATACTGAACTCTTATTTGGCAGAAACTCAACTAATCTCGTACACACAATAACCATTTGGCTAGAATCACAGAAGAGAGGTTGAGCGCTTCAAAGAGCGCCTCGACTGAACCCGAGACATCAGCATTCTGTAGCCTCACATGGGGTCAGCCATAGTCATGTAAACCATCAAAACTGCCTGTCAGGGCTTTGGCAAAGGCTCCGCGTCCATGAATTCACACAAATTTCTTGTGATACCGTCACTGACCTTCTTTCAAAAGCAAAACAAACCATCAAAGCTTTCTTCCTCTTCTTCAAACACCTCAAAGGCAACCACCAACTTGAGAATACTTCGCTTTGCCAGCAAAGGCTCCCATCAGGGCATGATGGCAGAAGGTCTGAAGCCTGGCGTGTACGTATCAGATCCAATGTCTACTACTGAGTTTTCCATAATCTGACAGTCGAGAAACACCCAAGTCCTATATCTTCATCAATGGCAAGTACTGGGTCGCGAAGGACCTCACTCTGGCCAACTTTGGCGATCTGGTGGCCGCCGAGACACCCGAATACGACTTTACCACCGCTGTTCAGGCGGCTTACAGACCCACGGTTGATGAGCCAAAGCCTCAGTCGGAAGGCTACGCGGATTTCCCTTCTTTGGCCGGAATGCGACCTCCTCCCATGATGCCCGCTGGCGCCAATGTCGACCGCAAAATCTGGGACGGCAACAACTCGAGAAAGATTAGAAGGAAGACGAAGACTTCATGGCGGCAGCGATGACCGATGAGGAGAACGACGAGGGACCCATTGGACATCCTGAATAGCACACGAATGTAATTTTGAACGTTCCTCGGGAGCCTCATCTTCTCATTTTTTTCGCCCCCTCTGCCTCGCCATGCAGTTCTGCCCTTTGAAGATGTCCACGCGTACCATCCAGCTCTCGCGCTGGATGACTTCGAGCACCAGCAGCATGCGCCTTTGGCCCCAATGGCCCCTTGGCACCCTAGCAACATTCAGGAGCCAGAGGTTCACCAGAATGATCGTGCCCCGGAGGCCGTCAACAAATGCATCATCGCTGGACAGCAGCCGCAGGACCTCCCTGGTCTCGACGACAACCACTTCGATGAACACACGCCGCACTATTAGTCTCTTGAGATTGGCTGGTTTGGCTACTCTTGAAACCTACCCCTACGTCTCAGGGAATGAGCAAGCATGAGATTGCAAGTAGCAATGACGAGTACGAGACGATAATGTTGGTATCAAGAAGCATGTAAAGCTTGTGATCAATGAGGCTGTGGAACAACTCGTATGAGAGCACATGTATCATTAGCTCTGTCAGCAGTGATAGCCCAGGGGCATGTCTGCCAACAGAAGGAACGCTTCTGATTATTGAGCAGAAGTCCTCCTACTTGCTCATTCTACTCACTGCCAGTGTATCATAGAATGTCCAGACGAGGTATGCAAAGAGGAGATAAAGCTGAGTTCTTACAGTGTGGGCATTGGATCGACGAGGTCATGACATAACACATGACACGAGAAGATATAATTTGGATTGCCACGTGGATAACTAGTACATCTATATTTTGTGCGCCTCGTTTTGGTGGACTAACGCGCCTTAGATGAAGTCGACTTCATCAAGACAGTGGCCTAGTATATAAGCTATGCCATATATTGAACCATGGGAGCTTTGCGAACTCGTTTACAAGTAGGCAAGAGCACCAAGAGCGAGAGCAGCCAGGAGGCCAACGGGACCCTGAGTAGCAGCACCGTTGACGGTGACGGGGGTAGCGGTAGCAGTGGCAGTGGAGGTCCCGTTGCGAGTGGTGGTGGCGCTCGTGACAACAGCAGTGCGAGTGGTGCCAGCGGCGGCGGACGAGACAGCGCTCGTGACGGCGCGGGAAGCACTTGAAGCGACGGAAGAGGCGGCGGAAGCAGCCTTGCTGGTGGCAGCAGAGGCAATGGAGGAGACGGCAGCGGAGGCTGAGGCAACGACGGAAGATGCAGCGGCAGAGGCCGAAGCGACGACCGAGGAAGCGGCGGAAGCAGGGCCACCGCCTCCAGCGACGGCGGCGCAGATCTTGCCAGCGGCGGGGAGGACCTGGTCTTGAGTGCCAGAGTTAGGATCATGTCGAGTTAGACAAGGGCTTTGGTGATGAACTTACTGACGGCAACGTCGGCACCGCAGCTAGCGAGGACGCAGGGAGTACCGGCGGTGACGATAGCCTGGTAGTTGGCAGCGCTGCAGAGGCAGGAGATGTCACCAACAGTGCACTTCCCGTTGGAGGTGACGGCGTCGGCCAAGCACTTCTGAGCACAGGTAGGGACGTCCGCCAGAGACTGGGCGGCGGCGAGGCCAGCGAAGGCGATGATGGCAGCTGTGAACTTCATGTTGACGGTTGAGGTGATGTCGAGTGACTTGACTAGGAGTTGAGTGACTGAAACGACAGCGAAGGTGTGGGTTATACCGGGTGAAGCGAGAGTTGGAATGAGCTGATGAGGGAGAGGGGAACCAGGATTCGAAAAGGTGGAAACGCCAGCTTCTCATATACACCACGGACTTCCTACCTTTAGGTCACCGAAATAAACATCTGCGGGGGGTTACACCCGGTCTATTCCTAGCTCGGGACTGAACACCTTTGTCTAGGGTTGAGTGAGATGTTCCCGTGAGTATCCAGTTTCCGGGCTGGATGAGGAGCTCTGGAATGTTGCGGTTCAGCGTTTGCAGCCACGCACGTTCCCACATCCGTCCCTGAGACACACGAGGCCAATCGGAGCCTCCAATTCGTCTTCTCCAGCTCCTAGGTTCCTGTGGCGTCTAGACTAGACCGCAGCTTGTTGAGAGGTGTGCCTGACCGGGCTCAAGCCGGATTCAGCAGCTTCATGGTGGCGCCGAGAGCATCCGCCTATTTTGGTGTTGAGCGACACGGCGGGAATCCATGGCTTTCTCTGGAATCCTTTACCTCTTGCGTCTCGGTTGAGGTGGGAGTAGGTAACACAGATTGCTGCCGAGGAGAGCTTTCATCGGCGCTGCGTCATTGATCTACCTTGAGAGGCCTTGAGTTCGACGGAAAAGATGAGGAGGTTATGACCTCACAAGAGCTCTAGAAGAATCAACGAGTATTGACGGAGCAAACTGCATGGCGTTCATCTTATTACTTAAAGTAGGGTGCCCCCCTCAAAGTTACCCACAAGGTGCACAAGGAGGTGGACTGGATAGGTAAGACAGTAATAAAAGCTTAACATTCTGGATCCCGCGGGGAAAAGAGAGAAACATACAGGGATGAAAATTTGGCAGTCCATCTGATAAGTCTCAATAATGGGCATCCTGTCTGTCATCGTACCGAGAAAGTAGGAGAGGAGATTTTTCGCCGAGCCGAGAATGTGGTAAACTTGTCAGAACACCAAAGACGCTTATCGCGAACTATTGGAGCTGAATCTCCACGATGTATGGCGTCGGCCAATCGGTTGACGTCTCTCTTGGCGGACATGGCCTGGGTCGACTAAGCGCGGTGACGGAGGCAAAGGCTTGCGCTGCCAGTACCAACAAGTCGGTTCATATTGACTAAGAATTAGTTGTTGCTCTAATATCTCCGGAGGAGCCACGTTTTTGAGCTAGTCGATGGCGCCCCCGAGGACGTGATGGGCCGTGGCAATCTGACAGGTCGGGGGGCTGGGAACTACAACTACGGCACGAGCACGGCGTCAGGGGGATCCAATAGATGGCAATAATGATTACCTGATAACCTACGCTGGCGCTATTTAAATACAAGACCAAGTAACTAGCTATACGACACAAGAAGTCTACAAGATGCATGCTGTTTCGCGCCCTTGAGGGCACACCGTCTTCCAGAATCCGCCCATGCGATCCGTTACATGTCTAGTCCGTTCCGTATCCATGCCCATTCCAAATTCCACAGTGACAAAGGAGAAAGAGTAAGAGTATCAATGAAAGACCCAAGCGATGAACCGATCCATCGCATGCTATGTTGCCCCAACACAGAAAAGGAGAAGAAAGAAAACACAAAGGAAACGCTATACTCTTGCTATCCGTCCGTCCGTCCGTCCTTCGCCACGCTAATCACTCGTTATTCCCTCGCTATTCCCATTTCCACAATCTCAAAAATAAGTCGTAAGGATTTAGTCGCTCTTGTCGCCCTCGGAGTGAGAGTGCTGAGACGACGACCTCTTCATACCCCGTAGATCGCATCTTCGTATGATTTGACTGAACGTGAAAGTCAGCATAGTGTTTAAAAATATTGATAGGTGATGGATTAGACTTACATTCCACCTCGCTCGTTGGGGTTGCGCACAACCACCAACTGCTCCTTCTTCTTATCATCATTCTTCTTCGTCTTCGTCGACGGTGCCCTCACATGGGACGACTCTCGAGAGCGAGATTGCACCGAAGGCGTAGACAGACGTCCCCGTAGCTGACCGATCTGGTCCTTGAGGCTGTTGACCTCAGCGACCGAGGCGTCGTAGGAAGCGCGCATGCCGTCTAGCTGGGCATTGACGAGAGACAGCTGCGACGTCAAGGTCGCATTCTCCTGGCGGAGCGCAGGCGCCATGACGGCCTCCGTCTCCAATCTCGCGACGCGGGTGACGAGGTCGTCACGCTCGGCGGTAAGGGAGCCGAGCTTGACGGTCTCGGACTGCAGCTGATCGTTGCGGTCCGTTAGCTCAGCGATGCGGTTGCGGAGCTCCTCCATGACTGCCGGCTCGGAGGGCGTGATAGACCCGGCGGACACGGACTCGGCCTTCTCGAAGACGGCATCGGCTCCGACGGGCGCTGCCTCCGGCTCGGGAGCTGGGGCAGGCTCAGGCTCCACTACTTCGGGTGCGGGCTCCGGAGCGGCCTTGGAAAGCTCAGAGGGTGCCGCTGAGGTGACGCTGGCGGTGTCGTCTTTGACTTCCTCAGGTACCGGCGCCGGGGCATCTTCGACAACCTCAGCCTCTTCGATGACTTCGATGACGGGGACCGCAGGAGGCTCCTCCACTGGGGGTGCGGGGGGTGCTTCCTCGGGCGCCGGGGGAGCTGGAGGAGCCTCTTCGGGAGGGGGCGGAGCCTCATCATCCTCACCCTTAACAGTGTCTGTATCGCTGTCATCTGCCGAGCCGATGACGGACGGGGCGGCGGAGCCGATAACTGAAGGTGCAAGTGAACCAGGGAGAGAGCCGGCGATAGATCCCATGAGTGACTCGGCACGTTGGAGCTCGCTAGTGACGGACTCATTCTCATCCTTGAGCGACTCATTCTCCGAGCGGAGTATGTCACGTTCCTCTGCGAGACTAGAGATCTGAGACAACTTGTCGTCTTGGTCCTTGAGAAGCTCGCCGACCTGTCCTTGGAGTGTCGTGTTCTTGCCCTTGAGCCCTTCGATGCGGGTTCTGAGCTTGTCGTACTTGGTCTTGAAGCCCGCGAGGTCCTTCACCTGGGTCTCGAGCTCACCCTTGCTGAGCTCAAGCTCGCCCTTGGTGGCCTCGAGACTCTCAAAACGGATCTGGATGTCGGTGTTGGTGGTCTCGAGCTGGGTAAGGCGGACCTCAACCTCTTGCTTCTCGACTTCAAGTGCGCCAAAGCGGGTCTGAATGTCGTTCTTTTCGGTGTTAAGCTTCTCCATGTCGGCTTCGAGGCCCTTCTTCTCGGCCTCAAGGGCATCGAAGCTAGCCTGGGCGTCCTTCTTCTCTGCCTCGAGCTTCTCGATGTTTGCCTCGAGACCCTTCTTCTGTTGATCGAGGTCGTCGATCCGTGCCTCCAGACCCTTTTTGGCCTCTATCAGGGCGCCGTTCTCCCGGTTGAGTTCATCGACTTGGGGTTTGTACTTGTCGACCTCCATACGGAGAAGGTCACGCTCGGCGGTGATGTCGCCAATCTCAGTGCCCTTGCGGATGAGTTCCGTCTCAAGTCCGGTGGCACGGATCTCCATGGTGTTCTTGATCATCTCGAGAGCGGCAATCCTGTTGATGAGGGATTTCTCAGTCTCCTTGGTGACAAAGTGAGCATCGCCGACGCTCCTCTCAAGGTCGTGGCATTGGGCCTCAAATTTCTTGGTGAGCTTCTCCTGCTCGGCAAGAAGCTTTTGCTGGTCAACGAGATCCTTCTCAAGTACTGCATTCTTGGTGGTAATCTCTGTCTTGGCTTCCCTCTCTTGCTCAATTTCCTTCTCGAGCTTGATGGCGTTAACTTCGAGTTGCTCCTTGATGCCCTTGAGCTGATCTCGTTCACGCTCAACATCATCGAGCCTCTTCTCATGCTCACCAAGGGCGCTTCTCACGTCATCGAGGAGGCGGCTCTGGTCATCATAGTCGCGACTAATCTGGTCCTTGAGGGTCTTTTCTTCACGGTGTTGCTTCTCAGTCTTCTCCTTGGCGGCTGAGAGTACTGAAATTTGGTCGAGAGCATGTCCGAGTCTTCTGTCCGTGTCGGTCTGCCTGGTCACAAGACTCATAGCCTCTTCTCTCATGCGCGCGATCTGCTTGTTGAGCTCATCTTGGACCTTCTCGCGCTCAATGAGGTCATGTGAGGTAATGTGTTGGACAACGGGAGGGGCAGGAGCTACAGGGGCCACCTCGATGTGGATAGTCTGTCTCTTGGGCGCGACGACGTCGACGCGGGTGCCCTTGAGGTTGGCGGGCTTGGCTGGCGTAGGAGGAATGGTGCTGGTCCTGACGACCTGCTTTTCAGTGGTGAATGGCCGAGTTCGGATGGCCTGGGTGTATGAGTCGGACTTGGAGGAATGAGAGTCAGAGTCGTCCACGCTCGTCGCGGTGGTGAGGGATGAGCCAGAAACGAAGCTGTACTTGGACTCAACATCCGAGTCATTGGTTTCATCGGCTGTGGTGTAAAGGTTCTCAGTAGACCGCCTCCACGGGCGGCTGAGCTCTGGTCGGGAAGGGCGGGTGCGAAGCATGGGGGGTTTGAACTTCAAGGGAGGCTTTGCGGCGCCGTGCTTGTTCCTCCAGTCTCCGGCTGAGCTGACGCTCAAGTCGGATCCGCTGTCGTTTACCGAACGATCCATGGGGGCAAGTGAGATCTCGGAGACGTTGGCGTTGGAGAGATCAAGTCTCTCAAGAGGAGTGTTGTCTGGGATGGAGACTGAGGGCCGCCTGAGTCTGGCGAAGCGCCCGCGGCCCTTTGCGGGCACCGGATCACGGGTAGGAGCCATGAGGACGGTGATGAAGATGTGTGAAATGGAGATTCGCTCAAGAGCCAAGTAGCTCTGGTAAATGATAATGTTATTCTTTTTTTGGGATTTCTCAAGTTATGTGCCAAGCTGGACGTCTGATCTGGGGGTGGTGGACTCTGCGAGTGACATTGAAAGTGTATTGGTAAGTTGATGAGGGGTAAAGTTGCATATCGGGTCTGCTCGGATCTACAATCAAAGAAT